GAAGAATGATCAGTAAAGGAATTGTGTTGCTCCATGACAATGCTCGGCCCCATACTGCTGGTGTCACTCAATCGTTAATTCGACAGTTTCATTGGGAGTAGTTCGATCACCTGCCGTACAGCCTGGACTTGCCGCCGTCCGACTATCACTTGTTCCTGCACATGAAGCGCGAGTTTGGTGGCAAGCGCTTTGGATCTGACGATGACACGAAAAATGCTGTGGAGTCGTCGTTATCGAAACTGGCGGGCAGTTTCTTGGACAATGGTATACAAAAACTGGTCACTCGCTATGACAAGTGTTTGATTATTGGCGGAAACTATGTTGAAAAACAGTTTAAGATATGTATTTTCATGTAAAAATAAAATTGGATTCGAAAAAATTGTTTTACAATTTTTTTTCAAAACGGTACTGTTCCCGAATACCCGTCGTATATATATATATATATATATATATATATATATATATATATATATATATATATATATGTATATATATATATTCTGAAATATGTAAGCTGAATGTACAAATTGCGCAATCTAACTTTCATTGAAATCTCTGAATTTCTCAAAAATTGAATGAGTATCAAATACTGAAAAAAACACTTATATTTTAAGCGCCGGGAAATTTAAGTTTTGTTTTGCGAGTGGTGATATAGCCATGATGTGCTGGGCTTTACAAAAATGTTGCTGCATGAGTTTGCACTTGCATTTACAAGTACCATATTGCATACTTGTTATAAATAATCTGACTAAGTATGTGCTGTTCTCACACCACTAGTCACAGTTACAAGTTGTTTCTATAGTTCCAATCTATGTCTTTTGCATGACAGTCGATTTCACAATTTGTATCCCTCTTTTGCCAGGTGAAGGCAAGCCTGCCTGTGAGTTCTATGCTGAAATGGTGCAGGCAGTGCTACGATCGCTGATCTTGTCCCTTCTAACTTCGGTAGTCAAGTGTACGTCCACGAGACAACAATACAAAGAACAATTTGTTTTGCCTTCGTCGAACCAGGTCGTCATAATGGGTTTAGAAGACGCTTTGCTTTCGGAGCAGTGGACTCCGCCCACCCGCCCCTGGCACCCCTCGCGCGCAGCGCTCCTGGAGGTAAGTATTGGAACTAAATGTTTCTCTTAACCCGCACACGGAAAGAACCACAGAGAAGAGAAGGCCGTAAACAAATCAGCTTACGAGGATCAGGGTTCCTATTGATGACATTGAAGACACTTTGGCCTGGAGATCTTCTTGACGCCCCGGCTGCACATAAGTAAATTGCGCATGTATACGCCACTGGGAATTTCCTGACTAGATAACTGGCGCAGAGCGCAAAACCGCACAAAAATCGTTTATGTTCCATTACCATTGAAATGGTGTAGCGCTATTTTGTCACGTTGTAAACTACAAAGCAGACGTGTTGGATTTTTATTATGCTGCGCAATTTCGGCGTTATCACACGTCTCTAATACTCCGTTGGACGCCGAGAATTGGCGCTTGATGGAAAGGGTGTGTTGTTTCTATTGTGTGTGATGCAGTTGGGCGTGGCCAATTGAGCCTCTTCCTGCGTGGGAGGGCGTGAGGTGGGTGCTGGCTGGGAAGGCCCATCGTGGGGAGAGGTGGTGTGTGTTGGTTATTTTTTATGTGTGGTGTGGTCGGCGCTGGCCATCGTGGGAAGTGTGTGTGTGTGTGTGTGTTGGTTCGTTGTTGTTGCGCAATAGTGTGCGTGGCCGCCTGAGTCCCCTCCGCCGTGGGAGGGCGTGTGGTGGGCGCTGGCTGGGAAGGGCCGTCGTGGGGAAAGGAGGTATGTGTTTGTGGTTTGGTGTGTTGCGGTGTGGACCGTGGCCAGCAGAGCCCTGTGCGCCGTGGGAGGGCGTGTGGTGGGCGCTGGCTGGGAAGGGCCGTCGTGAGGAGAGGTGTGTGTTGGTTCTCTGTTGTGTGTTGCAGTGGGGGGCGTGGCCGCCTGAGCCCCCTCCGCCGTGGGAGGGCGTGTGGTGGGCGCTCTCTGGGACGGGCCCTCAGAGGGCGGTGGTGGTGGCGGATGCGGGCGACGGGGAGCGCTGGCTGTCTGCTCTCCATTCTCGTTCTGCTGCTCCGCTGTTGGTGTGGCCCGCGCCTGATAAGGCGCCTGATTGGGTTTCGGATCAACGAGGTTACGTGTTGGCGGCGAGGGACCTCTCGCGGCTGAGCCTTAAGGTGGTCAATGACACCCTGCGTAGTGGAGTCCGTAAGACGGTACGTAATATATATCATTTGGATGAGGCAAGACTTAAATAAACGGAGTGTTGTCGCTCAAGATGTCAATTGACTATCTGATGAAACTGAGAACGGGATGTCGTAAGAATTGTGTACTACCGGTAAAACTGATTTGGAATTTAGCTAGATTCAGTTTTGTGTTGAGAAAATTCCTAGAAGCGGCTGCTCTGATTGGAAGTTTCCCGAGGTTTCTCCAACAACACCTGGCTAATTCTAGAGCAGTACGCTATGAATCGGGGCCATGGATCACCAGCGACCTTTCTTTTCTCTTACGTGTTTTATCCTCACTATTTACTTTACACACACTTACCCTAACATGTTCTACACCACCACATACCGGGAGACCAGTTGGGAGCTTAAAGCTTGTTCTGGCTGTGGTGGAGCCGCCGTCGTAAGAGATACCTGGTTGGGAAAATATAGCAACCGGCGTGCACTTGATGCCGGTTTCTACCATTCAACGAACGACGATGACCTGCTATGATGAAAGCATAAACTCTAACGCAACGGCAACAGTATTGCAGTTGACGCGGCGATGCAGCGCAGTGGAAAGTTTATCAATTAATCATTCAAGGATGCATAGTGATCACCTGCTGTGTATGGACCTTTCGAGAAAAATAAGAGCGGCATATATGTTTTGCGACTTAACGCCGCACTAGAATTCGACCACGCCTGTGTTTCTGGAGGGTTTTTCTTTTGCGTCCTTACTTCGTAAGAAGAGAAAGTATTGTACGTACGGCCGCGTTCCGTAAAGCGGCGAATTGTAGAAAGAAAAATCAATTTTGTCGCCCTGATGACGGAAAGGGGATAAATGACGTCCAAATGCATGTTTTGTGGGTATTTGATATTGAAAAATAATTGACTACAAAATGTCCTCCCGTCCGTCTGTTCTGTCCGTCTGTGGTCAACGCTAGCACCAAACCATTCATACAATGATCACAAAAATTGATATTTCCCCAATTACGAACTTAAAGCCCTGAAGAGTTTGAAGGAATGTTTTGATTTTTGTGCCTGCATGCTACGATGTCTCAACATTTTCAATTTCTCTATTTTTCTACAATTTCGAAATATCTGAATTGTACTACAAGGTGTTGGATACAATTTTGTACTCGAATCGCGTTAAAAACGCTTGAAAAATTGTTGGTGATCTCATTGTCGTTGAAATTTTTGAAATATGGAAAATTGTAAAGTTCACTCTCTTCAGTGTTTTCATACAACTGCACTAGTTAAGAGAGAGATTATTTTATTTTATCTGCTGCGATAGATAGGTGCATCATTCTTTGATATTCACAGCAACTTTTCTTTTTTCTTTCAGTTCTTCCATTTTCTTTCTGATCTCTGTATTTTTCTTTTACTTTCTTGCTACGGAGTAGATAGAAACTTATGTAATGCTGCACGAAAAACGGGTAAACTTGTGGCAGAAAAACTCTTATTACAGGGCTCTGGCAACGAAAAATTGGATAAATCCATATGCTAAATTTAGAAAAACTTATAACACTTGGTGTAGTCAGAATCCATGTTTTGTGGGTCTTAAATGCCGAAAAATCAAATGACAGAACGTCTTCCCGTCTGGGAACAATGGTAGTAATTAAATTCTTGACTGGCTAATGTCACGGCCCTTTAAATTTTAAACTGATGTTTTTAATTTCGGTGGTACTTAACATGAAGCCTGGGACATTTTCCAAATTTTTAAGAAAATGACTTCATCGTTTTTTAAATATATTTTTTTTGGATAATGTGAAGGACACTTACGTGAAAGTTGAAGATCTCATGTTCGTTGAAAACTGATTTTTCTAAAATAGCAAAATTTACAAATGTTTTCGGAGACTTCTTGCAACTAAAATATTAAAGATAGAGATATTTTCTTAATGAAATATGTTCCTTAAAGATAAATTTTGATATAAAGTCATACCAGTGTTCGAAAATTTAAGTACTTTTGCACAATTTTGCGTGAAAATACGGGCGAGAAAGTACGTGCTGTTTTAGCCCCACTAGTTTCATCTAAGATGTTGTAACCTAGAGCGCTACTTAAAAAGTTTATTTTTGCTTTCTGGATTTTAGAGGTTTTTTTATATCGCTATTGCTTCATCTCCATGCATTAGTATTAGCACAGCTACCTGTGTTCAATAATTCTTCTTTATTTCCTCACAATTCTTCTTTCTTTCCTTGTTTTATCTTCTAGATATCTCTGTATCGTGACGCATATATTTCTAAATTCATTTAGTCTTTTATCTAAACCTATATCTCTTTCACATATGTAATTTAGATATTTAAAACATTTTTCCTGGCTAATAATTTCTCCGTCTATCACAATCTTTCTTCTTACCGGGTATTTCCTTTTATAAGCTATAGCTTCAGTTTCTTTCCGTGGACATTTCTACTACATGGTTTGGGCCTGGTCTAGTCCGCTTCCGTCGGGTTGAGCTGCTCCTTCCCCCTTCTCTCGGTCTGCCAGGATATCTACGTCCCTGAGGGTGGTGTTTGGGTATCTTCTTCGGATTCCTACCTCCAGCTGCATGTGAGAAAACTAGAGTGACCTATGGGTCTTATTAACGATTTAAATTCTCGTACTTTTAATTGTTACCTAATTCCTGTACTCCTTTTTTATGCAATTGTGTGTATCCAGCAATCTCTCTAAGAAATCTCATTTCAATGTGAGGCTTGAATTCTCGCAGCTGTTTTTTCTGTGAAAGTCTACGTTTCAGAGCAGTAGATGTTGGTCGGGATGGCCAATACTTTGTAAAGTTTCGTTATGGACGCTGGTCTCGCTTAATTTTCCATTCGGTCGGCAGTCGGCAACGGGTGTGGACGCATCTTTGGAAAGCTCTTCAGAGTAAAAGGCGATGGACTGTTCTTTGGAGATTTCCGGGCGCGCGTCGGTACCTGGGCAGCGCGGCGCTTCAGGTATGTTTCAGCGAAACCGGGTGTAACGGGGCTCACGGAATGTGGACTGACTGGTGAGGTACTATGTGCAGCGATAGTGGTGATTATGTTGATAATTGGAGGAGTAGAGAAAAATCCTGGGCCTGAGGCGTTGAATGTCTGTTGTCGAGTTATTATGTAGCGGCTGCGACAAGAAGTTAAGGTCGGGAGTGCAGTGTGATAAATGCAACCAATGGTTTCATTACATTGGTGGTAACGTGAAATTACGCTCAGTCGAAAATGGACAGTGGGTGTGTGAGAAATGCAGGAAGGAAATGGAACGCTGTAATGAAGACAGAATTATTGCTCTAGAAAATGAACTTCGTAACGCAAGGCTCCAGATTGAAAAATTTAAACGGAAAAATTCATTACTTGAAGTTCCGGAAAGTAAAACTCATAATAACTTGACCAGGAATTGTGCGAGCAGCCACGTGTTAGGGGATTCGATAGTGCGTCATGTTGGTACGGCAGACAGCGTAGAAGTGAAATGTTTCCCGGGCATTAGAAGGAGCAACTTTCGCAAAGTTCGAGTCTGAAAATCGGGAGTGGGGGATCCAGACGTTGTATTATTGCATTTGGTGCACAACGATTTGACAAAGAAAAATTTATTATGTGATGGGGGAAGTGCATGTGGTAACTGCGGCAGAAGGCAAAAATTTGTGTATTAGAATTGTCATTAGGATCGTGTTGTCGGCGACGAGACCAGGATGGCAAGCGGATCAGAAGTAATTAAGAGGAGAAAATTCGCCGCTGGAGGTGGAAATGAAGTTGGGAGGTGACGTTTGTGGACCCAAACTGTTGGCTACAGGACAGCGACTTTGGACGAGATGGTCTACACCCCAACCGGCGAGGTGCTGCTCGTCTCAGTGACCTACATGCCAATGTCACGTCGTCCTCTGTAAGAAAACCTCACGTCTGACAAATAAATGCCAGTACAGCAATGGATATTTTCGAAGACGGCGAGAGGTTGGCGTCACAGGACGATTTGTCGTTGGTTGATGAGACGGTGAAATTTGATACGACGGCAGCATGGGTCAAGGCGGGACGAAATGACGAAACGTGGGACGAAATGACGGTGCGGAAAGTGGCGGAGGCGCGAGAAGAAAGAACAGGAGGAATGGACGAAAATGCGGCAGCGCTTGCGGCGCCAGCAGAGGACGATGAAACGACGGTCACGGGTGTCACTACAGGTAAGGGTACTCTACGACTGTTGCGGGTGAATTGTAGAAGCATTCGATCGAAGAAACTAGAGTTCGAATTATTAGTCGACACTCATAGTCCTGATGTTGTTATAGGCACCGAATCATGGCTAACCAATGATATTGATAGTTCGAAAATATTTAGCTCAAATTTCGTCAAATAGGAGAAGTTATCTTCATTTTCGTGAATAGAAATGCAAGTAGCCTAGAAGTGTACTCTGATAATGAACATGAAATATTAGGTGTGAAACTGCAAGGGAAAAACTCGAAAAATCACTTAAACATTGTAGCAGTATATCGTGCACCAAATGAAGATTTGGCAACCGTGCAAAAACTTAACTCAAGGCGCCGATATTCTTACAGGAAATATTATAATAGAGGGGGGGGACTTAAACTTGCCAGGTGTCTCTTGGAACGGTGTCGCCGAAACCAGGGGTATTTCCCAATCTTTTGTAAACGAGTTGGTGTGGAATAATGGTTTAGCGCAGGTAGTAGACACACCCAAGAGGGCGAAGGCCGTGCTGGATGTACCAGGAAAACTAGTTATTGCTCACGAAATAATACCAGGTATAAGTAACCATAATGGTGTGTTGCTTTTTGTGAACTGGGAAAACACAAATCGAGACGAATCACGAAAATTAGTATTTCTGTACGGAAAAGCAGATGAGATAAAAATGGATCCAAGAATTATTTAGCGGATAATGTATAGGACTTGGGCTTCATGCGGAAGAACATGGGATGGAAATATGGAATCATCTCACGAGCGTAATTCTTAACTGGCTGTGATATTTTGTTCGACGCCAAGATTATATCAAAGAGAACAGCAATCCTATAAAACACACACGTAAATTTAAGAGATTAAAGAGAAAATTAGGAAAGCTTAATTACTAAAGTAAGAGGGATAGCTATTACGAATTAGAATACAGGCGATGGTCAAAAACGTTATGGAGAAACGAACAGCTCAAGAGAATTTCTTCCGTAAAATACTAAGTAATGAACGTACTAGTTGGAAGGGTTTCTATAAATACGTAAGGCAGCAAAGGGGGAACAAGGAAGCTATACCTGCATTAGAATATAATAATTAATGTTGTGTGACAGATCAGGAAAAATCAGAATGTTTTAATTTGTATTTTCAGTCAGTTTTTGGGGAAGCGGTAGTCATTCCGGAAATTACTGAGCCAAACGAAGCCGAGAGGTTTCGTGTTCAGCCAAGGATTATTCGCAAGAGGATACAAAGCATAGGAATGAACAAATCAGTTAGTTTCGATGACATTTCAGGAGAACTATTAAAAATAGGGGGGAACCAATTGTTACATATTTGACACGACTATTTGAAATCAGTGTCAACAATTATGGCATTCCTCGTGATTGGAAAAGAGCTATTGTGGTGCCGATTTTTAAAAGTGGAAATCGCACTTGTGTCTCTAACTATAGACCTGTGAGTTTAACATCTGTCATTTGTAAGCAAATGGAGTATCTCATAGCTGTAAGTATATTTTTGGGGTGTACATATATATATATATATATAAATATAATATATATATTATATTGTGTGTGTGGTGTGTGGTGTGTGTATTGTGGTGTGTGAAATGCGTGAAATGGAGGCTTTCTTGCTATGCTGGGGTATACACGGTTCTATGTAATATATTATATTTACAATTACTTCATTGTTCGTTTTCAATGTATTTATTATGAAATATTTAATGTCACATCATTTTCATTTGTATAGTGTAATTAATTGGCTACCACCTGGCAAAGACGCCAATTATGGCCAAAATAAATATATTATACTATATTACATTATAATATATTATATTATATTATATTATATTATATTATATTATATTATATTATATTATATTATATTATATTATAATGTTCTTTTAAGTGTTCCATTTATATAGTTGAATCTGTTAATTTTGTTTCCTGGGTCTATTTCTTTATAATGGGAAATATTAAAACCAAAGTAATTAAACTGGGTTACCTGTATTAACATCTTATTTTCTTCTACTTGTTCTGAGCGGAAAGGATGTTTTCCTGAAACGGCCATCACGTTTGATTTCTTCCCCGATCTTTTCGTATAGAAACCTTTCACAGCGCATTTCATTTATCTGTGTAAGAGTTCATCTTCACTATTTGAAATCAATATTTGTTCGTAAGCATATAACATTGTGCTTTTGATATTGCCAACTATATTCATCCCTCCTTTTAATGTTTTCCCGGAGTCTAATTGCTTAGACGATGTATAAATTAAAAAGGCATGTGATACAGGGCAGCTTTGTCGAACACCTCTCTTAGAATTAGAATTAGAATTAGAACTGAAGATTTTTAATTAATCTTAATTTTAGTTTTTTATAAAGGCTTTGAATGGCAGTTACTATGTGAAGAGGAATTCCTATCGTCTTTAATACGGTTCACTGCAATTTTCTCGTCACTCTATCAAACGCCTTGGTGTAATCAACGAACAAAACACCAGTTTCAAAGTTATGTTCTCTTCTCTATTAGTGGTTTTACTGAAAATATTTTCTCTGTACAGCTTCTACACTTTCTGGACTATGACTGTTCCTCAGGCGAAATTACATCAGAAATCTGATTTAACCTGTTTCATACAATCCTTGCATATATTTTCCACGCAGTGCGTAGTATATAATTCTTTTGTAATTCTCTGAGCTTGCTCTGTTACCTATCTTGTAAATTGATATAACTCAGGCCACATTCTAATCTTGAGGTATTACTTTACATTTCCAGCATTTGTTGAAGAGCTGTAGTATTTTTTTATGTAAGCTTTCCAGAGCATATTTCCACAGTTCGGCATTAATTTTGTCCGTATCACACGCTTTCCGGTTTTATTTGTTTTTAAAGTTTCTTGAAGCTCTCTTCTTAAATATAATTCTTACATGTGATCATTACTCAATACTTGTAAATCTGCTCTGCCTTTAATTGGTTGATTTAGATTGTTTAAAAATTTGAAAAACTTTTTTTCTCTCTTCCACGCAAATTACGTTTCATTTCAGCACCGTAATTGTCCCAATGAGATTTATTAAGAAATCGAGTGAATTTTTTAGCTAGTGCTCTTTTAATATTATATTCAATTTGGTTTTGGTCTGATCCATTCCCCAAATATTTAAGGTAAGCTTCTTTTTATGTCTTATATCATGTTACCAATTTCTGCATCCCATACTGTTCAGTCTTCTTCGTTGGTCTACGTGTAAATGCTCGTTGGCAGCTCTGTAAATGACATCTATCAATTCATTCCATTCAGTCTCAAAATCTTCTGCTTCAGAGAGATCATCCGACGCAACTTATGTTCAATTTTTCGAAAATTTGAGTTTTATAAAAAATGATGAGTGAAATGTGTTAATTTGGAGAGAAATTGCGGTATAAATAGTATTAAGTAAGCATTACTAAGGGCAATTATGTATTTGTTGTTTTAGCACGACTAGCTTGAAAATGTACCAAGGGTGGTATGTTAAGTACCCCTCAAAATTTAAATATCGGTTTCAAATTCCAGGGTCCGTGACATTAGCGAGAACTATCAATTTTGAAGAAGATCGCTCGAACTGCTTATGCGCGGGAGCTGTGCGCAGACGGACGGACAGAAAGACAAACGTTTTGCCATCATTCGATTTGTCGGTATTATGGACACGCAAAACATGGATTCTTCCTACACCACATGTTTTGTGTGTAGATGTCAACATGTCAAGAATGTTTTTTTAAATGTAGAAACTGGATCTATCCACTTTTTCGTTACACAACTTCCTGTCCACTGCGTAACCGGTAGCGAGAAATCGGACATGTTCCCCGAGCGGCCCAAGTATATTTCTGTATATTCGTATGTCTCAACTGTGAATACTTTATTATCATATTCTCTTGCAGTTTGATTTAACTTTATTTCTCGTATAAAGTGAAATTACTTTTGCGTTTTGTCTTTCTTTAGAAGTTTGTTTTTTTCTACAGTACATATTAAAGAAATGAAAAGGGTGTAGATGAAATAACATTATAGAGTATTTAAGTAGTTCTGTATTCATGCAATTCATACCGAGTCTTTTCGATTTTTACATTTTTACGTCCTCCTTACAGTTTATAAGCCTTCCTGTGGGTCATTTCTTTTCGTATGTTATCTGCATTTGTAGTAGTTGCATTTTATTATTTCACATTTTTCGTCGTAACAAGATTTTATGTATCATCCGTTTTTCTTTTCTTTGGAGAGCTGCGCTAGGAAAGATACAGAGGAAAATGTTAAGAATAACATGCTGATACAGAACCGAGTAACAGCAGCACTGCAAGACTTCGCTAGGATAATACCACTTGACCTGCAAATCAAAGAAAGAAAGTATATAACCGAAACAAACATCTAAAATTACATAAAAAACAAATATTCGAGAAGCAATCCTACACGACCGGCAAGAAGGTGGAATGCAACATAGTGGGTGGGCCAATGAACCAAGACATAAATTTCGAACATTGAGGATTGGCTTCAATGCAAGCGCATGAAATTAGATAACTTTGTGACTCAAACACTGACAGGACATGGACGAATAGGAAAAGAATAGGAAAATCTGCAGAGGAGCGATGCACGTAGTGCATCGAACTTACACCTGAGCATACATCCTTGAACTGCCCGCTGAGAAAGTCCAAGACAAGAAGTTTATATGCACATAGACAAAACGGTGGAAACCCTTGTGCATAACACGCTCCAGGCGCCAAACACTTGGAAGACCGTCAAAAAATTGGCAAAAGCATTTATGCGCTAGATAGAGAGAATATAAAGTCTGGACAGTTAATTACAGGACTGGAACATCTTGAAGAAATGGCCTCAAGCAGTTACGGGATGGAAACGGAAGATTTTTTTTTCACTTGGTGGAAATCCAACTCCCACAAAGAGTGGTGTCCTTCAAAGATTTTCCCCATTAAAAAAAATATTCTATCATTAACCACACCACTACTACACCTATTACTAGTATTAATAGTAGAATTTATCTTTATTATTATTTTCATTGTTATCATTATTATTGCC